TATATTTCTCATGCTTGGGTTTGACTGCAGCAGCAGATCCTGGAACAGGTATAGGAGCAGGGGGCGGTGGAGGTGACTTCTCCTTCTCCTTCTCATTATCCTTCTCCTTTTCTTTCTCCTTCTTGTCTTTCTCCTTCTTGTCCTTCTCCTGCTTCTTTTGCTGTCGTTCCTCCCATTCCTCTTTAATGCGCCTTATCTCTTCATCGCTGACTTTCTTTGCTGCTGGACTGGCTGATTCAGGAGCGGGCTCAATGAGGGTGGCAAAGCCTGTATCTTTGAGATGGGTATCACATATGGGGAAGAAATCAATGGTGTTTATTGTAGCGAGAAAGGTGGTAGTGGGGCGATAGCACATGTAGCATGGTTTCGCAGTAGCGACGGCCTGTCCGAGCAACGTCAGGCACTATGAGAGCAGGAGACAGTAAAGAGCTGACACGCTTGTAATAGATGTTTTGAAAAGTGGCACTGGCCATTCACGAGGACAGAAGTTAATGAAGAGGAGTTTAGCAAGAGGCGGAGTCAACGGAGGGCTATTCCCAAAAGATAGAAGTAGAAGACGAGGATATTACCGGATATCGTAAGTACGCCCGCTTCTTCATCTTATCTGAAATCTTCGCGTTACTTCCTGCGAGAACAGAGCCTAAACTCGACGAGAAGTTGCTTATTCTGAGCCTATCACAGATAGGTACACATGTTTTTTGGAAATATAATCCACAACCGCCTTCTCTATGTCCCCGTGTTCTGCTCCTCGTCGCCCGACTCGGATTCACTTCCGCGTCATTCTCACAGGGTCGTCATCTTACTCTCGCCTGATTATACTACCACTTCGACTTACAAACGACTCTGGCTCTATTATAAGTGGCCTCTCACCGCTTCAATTCGCCTCCTCGTATCGTATTCCGCTGAGCACAAATGTCGTCTACTGAAGGCAAAAGTATCACTTGCAAGGCCGCCATCTGCTGGGGTGCAGGAGAGGACTTGAAGATCGAGGAGGTCGAAGTCGCTCCTCCCAGAGCTCATGAAGTCCGTATCAAGATCTTATACACTGGTATTTGCCACACCGATGAATATACCAGGAGTGGAAAGGATGCTGAGGTGAGATGCGATCCTATCAAGCTAGATCTCCAATCGTCGCTGAATGAAGTGGATCGTGTCCGATAGGGTGTCTTCCCTGTTATTCTGGGCCACGAAGGAGGTGGAATCGTGAGTATTCACTGCGAGGCAGAAATTCACACTATTTATTATCCCGATCTTGGAAATATAGGTGGAATCAGTCGGTGAGGGTGTTACGAATGTGAAGCCGGGAGACCATGTCGTTCCTTTGTACACTGCTGGTAGGAATTGCGCGTATTTATTGTCATTATTCACTTATACGGGTCATAGAATGCAAGGAATGCAAGTTCTGCAAGAGTGGAAAGACTAACCTTTGCGGAAAGGGTATGTATGATCGAATTGAGATTCATTCATGCATCTGACGATTTCTCTAGTCCGTGCTACCCAAGGAAAGGGTGTCATGCCCGATGGCACTTCCCGCTTCAAATCCAAGGGCCAAGATATCTTCCACTTCGTAAGTGTCTCCTCATCTATCCACATGTGATCTAACATCCCCTCCTCCTCAGATGGGCACCTCCACCTTCTCCCAGTACACCGTCGTAGCAGATGTCTCTGTTGTTGCCATCCAGGACAAGGCACCCCTCGACCGTGCCTGTCTCTTAGGCTGCGGTATCACCACTGCCTGGGGAGCCGTCGTGAAAACCCCCGGTATCAAAGACTCCACTGTCGCAGTCTTCGGAGTTGGTGCTATTGGCCTTGGTGTCATCGAGACATCGAGATTGGTAGGCGCGTCGAGAGTTATTGCCGTTGATACAAACCCTGGCAAGGAGAGCTGGGCTAAGAAGTTTGGTGCGACGGAGTTCATTAACCCAAGTGAGTGTCAATGTGCATATATTCGAATTCCTCCCTATTAATCTGGTTATGGTTTCATAGAGGACCTTGGTGATAAGAGGATCCAAGATCACTTGGTCGAGATCACTGATGGTGGTTTGGACTTCACTTTCGATTGCACGGGTAATGTCCAAGTTATGCGTGCTGCTTTGGAGGCTTGTCATAAAGGATGGGGTGTTTCCACCATTATTGGCGTTGCTCCTGCTGGCCATGAAATCTCCACCAGGCCATTCCAGGTAGGCATATATCCTTTTCTTCAAAACAGAGGAAAGACTGACTATCTTTACAGCTCGTCACTGGTCGTGTTTGGCGTGGTGTAGCATTCGGCGGTGTCAAGGGCCGCTCTGAATTGCCCACTTTGGTTGACGGTTCGCTATATGATTAATCTATTCTACCGATTTAGCTTAACCTTACTGGTTTACAGATTACCTTCAGGGCAAGATCAAGGTGGACGAATACGTTACCCATGAACGCAAATTGAACGAGATCAACGCAGGCTTCCACGACATGCATGTATGTGATTTATACTTTATTTTCTCGACACAAGAACTAATGGGTATCTTCACAGGGTGGTGACTGCATCCGTTGTGTCGTCGATATGCAGGACTGAAGCTGAGATGGGAGATAGTTGCAATATCCACAAATCTTTATCGTTATATGCAGTGGAAAAATTCAAGTTGTATTATATGAATAAAATTGCGTAAAGTCATGAACGAAAAAATTAGATGAAAAGAATGATGCATTTATGAAAAGATTCTACGTATATCACCATACCATCCAACCTAACAAACACTGTAAATGTATCGTATATGTATAATATAAAACGCCAAATAAACCAATCATATTCATTTCGGTTCGCAGCCTTCCCAGATTAAACACCCTTCTCAACCATTAACCTTCCTTCCCTCGGCCCCGCCTCCGTCCCAATGATCGCCCTCCAAAGCACCCCCAGCGCAATATAGACATTCTTCCTCCTCAGTCCCGTCTTCTTCCAGATCAATCTCGAAAGACCCAACACAGCCAACATGAAACTTGCATCAAGCATCAACCTCCTAATAATGGTAAGCACAGGCGACGAAATAGGGAAGTTCCGAGCCCGTGAATAAAGACGGTAATGACGTGGATTGCGAGCGTTAGGATTTAATTGAGTGTGCGCATCGTCTGTGGGGACGTATATCAGGAAATGGGCAATTTCGCGAAGGGATTCCGTTATGCG